TCTTAACTGATCATCTGTGTTGATTTTTTGACCGGTTTGCATCCGATATAAAATTGATTACGGCTTAACCGTTACTGGCATGAAGCACCTGTCTCGACGGAAATTTCGCAATCTTACCAAAACACATTCTTTAGAAGGTCTGGACAAGAATGCCAGAATCTTGTAGAGATCGTAGACATTCCTAGCGCAATGTGTCTGCTAGTGAACTCGATTTTTTTTACTCGGAATGTGATATTTAATTAAACGGACCCAATTATAAGCTGTGAAAAGCAGTTATTTTCATTAAAACTCACGGTTTAAACAGGGCGATTTAAAGGGGAAAATCAGTTAACAGATCACTAGTAAATCTCGATGTATTTTGTGAGATATTGCTCCGAGAGCTTCCCCATAGTCACGAACTATCTTACTTTCTTGGTTACTAACTTACGTACCCGATGACAAAGTTGTACATGTAACTGGCTTAAGGTTATTCCTCAGAATTGCATTGCGCATTCCTACTGCGCACGATTTTAGCGTCATTAGCGCGCACTCGCGAGCGCGTGCATATACACAACATATACAAAATGGTGGCTTTTTCTAAACGGCTTGGCTTGCGAGCATAGACAAATCATCGTTTTCTCTCGGAAACGAGTACCGGGACATAACGATTTTTTTTATTTAGTTTGAATGCAGCGATCACCTTCTTTCTATTCAGTGAATATAGACCACTTTCTATCGCAGAGTGACAAATTATCACTGAAATTGAGAGCATAGCTAGCACTCGTACAAGATATGTGCCCTCAATAACACTGTGTGCATGGAAGTTATTGAATCCCTGTCGACTAAATATGGGTGCCTTTATCAATTAACTCACATCAAATTGCTCCTTCACATTGATGCAATACATCCATTGTTGCATTTCTCGCTTAAGTTTCTCCCTATTTTTCTGCTCTCACAAAGAGTAAAATGAGTGGTTCAAATATAAACGTTTCTAAAAGCAGATAATTTAAGGAATTATGGGGTTTATTGAAGGTCTTCTTGTTCCTAAACGAATACCTACCGGGACCCCCTCTTTTATTTCAAAATTTAATTTCTCCTGTTGTAAGCAGACAACAGGCAAAATTCGAGTGAATGTTTTTCGCGGGAATGAACTTAAGCCAGTAACCTGAAAATGAGTAGCCTTAACTGGGCTGAAAAAGGTCTGAATGAACTTAATAGTGTACTTCATGTGTTATTGTACCACATATAGTGTCTGAATTTCACGATTAAAGATGCAAACTTACGACACATTGTTGAGAACGCGAAATATTCTTGTTTTGCAAAGAAATCAACAAAATTCTTGCACAATTGTAAATATTTTCAGATCCAATTTTGGAGCAGTTATGTACCGAACAGAATTTGGAGTAGAAAATCAGTCAGAGAAAAAACGTTCAATGACTTTTCCCAATATACCCTAGGATAGGGTATATAAATCAGAGCGTTTGGGTCTAGAATAGGGTATCATTTTTTCCCAAAACTGACCAGTTGGTTGAAGATTTTATCTAGGCTAAGGAAACCAGGAATTGCCACTCAAAACTATAAAAGAAATCAAATCGGCAAGTTTAAATTTACGCAAAGCAGCCTCAACAGTGTCGATAGATGGGGGAATTTGGGGAGTTTACTATAGTATAGGGTAGCAAAATTCAGCTAAACTAGCTCTGGTGTAGGCTAAGGGTTTCAGGGTCCCAGCGGCACATCCCCACCCAGAAATTCCCAAAGTACCCCCCCGGGGGAAATATTTGTTTTGTTAAAGCTGTAAATCTCTTAAGTAACTGGGCACTTTTATTCTCGTTCTGCCAGTCTAATCACAGAGGCGCTTACAGGCGTCGAGATAAGATGGGAAAGAACTGACAAAAATGTGCAAGCGTGGGGTTAAAACAGTCATACTTTTCAGACGGTTTAGCGCTGGCTAAAGCCATGAAAGCGCTGCTGTACTGATAATTCTCTCTGCCGTTAACATGCGGCGCCTATTCGAGGGCAGAACAATTAAGACTCTCTTAGGAATGATAAAGTGTTCCCATTGTTATCCAAAGACAATAGGAACACCCAAAACTCTATTTAGAAAGTTGATCTCAGCACGAGGCCTCCTGGAATACGCGCCACCATTAGAGCACAAGTTTGGCCAATAAATGCCACGTTGCTCTTCAGGACTGCAGCTTATTCGACGGCATTTCTGATGTCATTTATAGCACTTATTCAGTGGATACGCTCATGAGTTGAGTGCGAAAGTCTAAAAGGTGCAAGGTGCTATATTCCTCAGAAACGAACATCTTAAAAATACAACGCCCACGAGTGCTACACAATCTGCCACTTTTTATTTCTGATTTTTTTTTTCTAGAGAAAGTTGTATTTCCAGCTGTTAGCCTTCTACATCAGCATAGAAGAGCCAACTTGTATTTGGATTTGCTAGTAAACCGTTACCATTATTGTATTTATTATTATTATCTCAGAAGTATAGCATAATCATATCTAGGGAGCGCGCTTAGGTGACTCGGCCGAGAAATACTCGCGAGGAGAAATGAGGCCTGGCGCGAGTCTCCTCGTACTCGTCCTCTTCCTTTACCATTCAGTGAGAAGTCCTCATCAAATGGAAAATGATCACCTTCGGGGTTTCAAAAGGAATCAAACACACCAGCCTTCAGTGACAAACAAACTGTTTATTAAAACTTATTACAAATGTTCACAAAAGTGATCACCATTGGTCAGTTTTCTTCGACGTGACCCAGAGTAACGGTTCCATTGTAACTTTAAGGTTTATAAAATACGATCAAGCGAACGCTATAGCTTTGCTTATCCTAACTCCGTCCAGTGTTACTTGTGTTATACTGGTAGAATGTTTCCAAGTCTGTCAGCGAGCTATTCAAAATCAAAAGAACTTCTTTTCAAAA